AGTGCAGCACCTTCGATTCGTAGTTATAGTTGGTACTTTGTGTAATGGTGAATCGGCCTTCTGTAGAATTCCATCGCGATGGAGCGAGCCAGCCTTCAAATCCTTGTTTATCATTGACAAAACTTTACTCTCTGGGCCCCTGATCGCTCTAAACGTTTGCCAGGATTGTCAAAATTTTCTTCAAGTCATTCTAGATTTGTATTAATGTTCGTCCTAAGTAAAATCTGTCCACCTTTTGTGGCGATCTGCTTGTCGGCTGAATTAGTACCACGGTAGACGAACATTGTGATGGCATCATTGCTCACTCACGAATGAAACAAAATAAGCAATTTCTTTGACACGGATACACTGTTATGACATCCTCAGTTTTTGGAGCTGTCATCACATGTATCTGGGGCACTTTCATGTTTATTTTCCATGGCCTTCATTTAATTATCTAATGCATGGCTTTTTTCCTCAAAAAATGACGTCTCGGCATCGAGACGTCTGGTGACACGTTCCGTCATCGTTTTTACGAAGGGGCCACTCTGACAGAAATGACTATCGATTTCATGGTTTTAAATATTCTTCTCTCTGATGCTTCTCGGGGCAAAGCGTTCTTAATTTCTTAATCTGCCCTAGGCCGAAGCACCCCCTTATCGGTTGAACAGAGCCATGAAGGGAGAGAGTGTTCATTTTGTTGGCAGCGATGCGACTGCAGCGCTTGCGGTTTTGTGTGTGTGTGTGAATTAGCGATGTGTAGTTACATTCAGAGGAGCCCCCATTGTTGATAAGAAAGTTTGCGCTCTTTCTTGGTCCAGCTCGGAGCCCATGCCATTGTCTTAATGACGGCGGCATTTGGCGTTTTACGATACTTGCCTACCCCTAGAATTAACACTACGCTCTAAATTGGGAGGCCTACATAGAACTAGAAGTGCACGGACGTTAACTTTGATTTTAGCTTCAGTTGTAAGATACCGACATCTCGAAACATTCTCACAGGCAAATTCATAAACAATGCTATATTCTCTTCCATGGTAAAACGCATGCACAGAAGCAAATAAAACTATAAAGGTCAGTTTAATTCTATCATAAAGAAGATACTTTCCGCAACTATCTTTTTTTTTATAATTAGGCCTACTGCAGTATAAAAGGTTTAACTGTTAAGAAATCATGTGAGGGATTTTCCTTCGCAATCTTGTAGTAAGAACTCGAGTCAAAGACTCCACTCGAGTCTGACTGAGTCACATTTTGGCGACTCAACTTGAGTCCTGACGGGTAGATGATTCGACTCGAGTCACTGTGAGCAAATGACTCGACTCGAGTCCTTCATCAGAAGACCCGATTCAAGTGAAAGTTAATAAGGTTCGAGTTTAAAAAAAACGAATTTCTTTGCAAAAAAATGCAATGACTTGTACTGCCGGGTTGTAATGTCCACGCATGTGTTATTACCATCAAGAGTACATGTAAGATGTGGTGTGGCATGTAGAAACCCAGAGGTATATTTGAAAATTTTAAAAAAAAGACTCTCTGTCTTGTTTTTGTTTATCGTATTGTGTTTAATAGGGCCTACTGGTGACTCGAATAAACTCGAGCTAAATACTTGCCTAATGACTAGACTCAACTTAAGTCACTACGTCACATTGACTTGAATCGACTCGAGCCACAAAATTTGTGATTGTTACAACTCTGATTCTGTACTTCTTGCGATTCTTAAATAAAGCTAAATTCTCTTGCGATTATTTGAAGAATCATTCCCGTGTACTGGAAAAAAACACTGGCGATCTGTGAAAAGTTTGGTGAACAAAATATCACATTATTTCGTTGCAAAACAAAGCAAATAAAACAGATCTGACCTAAAAGGCGGCTTATAACTACAAAACTGATAAGACCAAACAAAATTCGATCTTGTTCTCTTCTTTCCTTCGGGGCAGAAGAGATTAGCTTTGACGCCGCTGAGGGTTGTTGTTTCAGTGAACGCTTGCGGAGAAGATTGAATAGTTCCACGCAACACAGGAGTCAGGTAATTTGGGCAGAATCTTCTGCGTTCTTGGGGCGCTTGGGACTGTGCAGCGCCTCGCATTTGCCCCCGTGGGAATTCATTTCCGGTGTGCTCCGCGGACTGGGTTCGTATCCAGACAAGATCTAGGGCCATCGATCCCTCGTCACCTCTCCCTTAATTGATATCGCCCTCGGATGCTGATCATTGGCTTGTCATACATCGATGACCGTCGCAAGATGGCAGCACAGAGACGAATCCCTATCAAGTTTAAGGCTGTTAAATCCGTTCACAATTTCTTCGTTTCGTTCGTGGATGTAGGCCCCGCGGAGGTGTGACTTGTGTTCTACTTTTGAAAACAGTAATTGTAATGTGTGTGGTAAAACACTGATACACTATTCACAGCATAATGTAAACGAAGCTCTATGTTTGGATGGAGATGGAACACTGAAAACCCCTACATTTTTATTCAAATTGTAACAATGGTTTAGCAGGAATTTAAAAACTCATGTAGAAATGCTTCTGACCACCGTTCCGACTAGAAACAAAACAATTTGTTAAAAACATGGAATTCCGTGAGCATGCCGGTTGATGGGTACGCAATCGGTCGGCAAACTGCGGCGGCTGATAGTGTTGAACCATGGTTTAAAATCCAGATTTTGCAACATAACTTTTGATACTAAGTCTCAAACTAAGGTCCGAGCGTCAATATTACTACAACAATCCCAGGTCTGGGTATCGGTTTTGAGGCGAGTACAAAATTCCTTGAGGCTTGAGACTTACAATTCATTTTCTGCCGTGGTTTTCTCCGGCGTGAAAACGAACGGCGTAGACTAATCCGATTTGGTGCAATAACTGTGGTGGCACCGCACTCACACGCACATCCCTAAGCTTGACGCGCATTTGGTAAATCACGACATCCTATTGGTCGAACGCGCGCGTACCACGTGTCCACGAGCGTTGCACCACCGCAATAATGGCTAATTCTGGTTGTCGAATTACACCATAATTTACACCATCGCGGGAGTCTGACAATAACGAGTTGCTATTTCTCCAAAATATATGAAAAGTTGCTTCTTTATCTTGTTTCTTAATCCTCTTCTTGCTTGCCCGAAATCCATTCTATCAATTCCCAATCCCTTCTTCTGGCCAAGCGCAGGGGGGGTAGGCCTACAAATATCCCACTAATAGAACCCAACAAACTTCATGTACATCATCCGGCCGTTATCGTGCATCTACGGCTCTCAACGATGATGAATTTTTTTTTTCTCCTGCGAGGAGTGCACGATCTCCACGTCGCGCGCGGTGCGACTGATGCGCCCTGTTTGCTTCCATCCCAGCAGCTCGCAGCGGGACATCGGGGTGAATCTTCACGGGATTGAGCGGGCGGGGTGACGACAGCGCCGCCATCAACGAGTCCAAGAATGAAGAGGTTGTTAGTAGATTGGATTCAAGACTGGAGGAAAAAAAAGGAGAGAGAGAGAGATAGCTCGTGCTCAGGTATACCAGACTCCAGGGATCGTGTTGCCCCTGCACTAACCCATACACTTCAGTCCACCCGGCGCTTCAAGGCGCTCCATTCGGGTATGATCACACAAGACGGTGTGACTGTACGACCACTTCTCGAAGACAATATGGCATAGGGGGGACTGCACTTGGTCGGAGAATGCAGAATGACCCTCACAGTCCCCTTTAAGTTAAAGAAGAGGTTATATCAAGGGGTCTGTGAACAAGTCAGAGAAAGGGTGTTACATCCCTTGTCTCGTCTGTTATTCTTCGGAAAAGAAAGTGACAGCTTTGGAAAGACCAAAGTCATCTCTCGTAAGTAAAGGAAGAGAAAGTGTGACATAAGCATAAATTGTTATTTCATCAGTGGCTGAATTTGCTCCATAAGACTATACAGCACTTAATCCTAGAGTTCATTGAACCAAGATGGACGGCCGATATCACTGGGGCAAATGAGACCTTTTTGGCCTTTTACCGATAACTACATGTAAGGCACCCATTAAAAATGATGAATATTTACGCACTTTCGTTCGGAGGCAAACAATTGCCAAGAAATTCAGGCGAGCGCTAATTTGCATTGCTAAGTTAAGACCCAAGTAGAGGACCCTTGGGGGAACGGGTCTTGAACGTCTTTCTCTGAAGATAAGCAACAATTTCTCATACATCTATTCACCTTATTTGCACAGCTTTATAGAGATAAGAACTCTTCTGTAAGCTGCGGTTTACTCCGTTTCCCCTTTTTCGTTTCGAATCGTTTCCCCCAGAGGCACGATTGGCGTGGATTTCACTAAGTGTCCGCATTGGGTTCGTCCATCCTCCACAACTTACACTTGGACTTTATAATGCCAAGGGACTGAAATATGCAACGTGGTGGGAAATGAGAGAAAAACAGAAAGAGGTCCCCTTCTGACTGAAAACTGAATGATTTCTTGATGGATCCACCTTCATTTCTATGGAGAATGTCTGAAAGGAATCCATGGCAGTAACCACTGAAGGGAAGGGGATGAACAGAAGCAGCAGTGAACACACTGGACAAAGGTGCTTCTAGCCAGGGCTGTTCTTCAGGTTTTGTGTAAAGCTGTCTGTGCTCAACGTTTGCCTGTAAGGTTCGTGTGAAGGCCGCCGGTTCACATTACAGGCGAATGCGAAAGCGAAGCACATTTGACGTCCCGACAAATTTGCAGCAAAATTTCGCTCGAGTTGAAATGTGTTCAACTTTTACGAATTCGCAGCGCGAATTTGATCTGACCTCGCAAATTCGCGTCTGCGTTCGCTTTACGCGTGAGGTATGAAACGGCCTTTACACCCCGACACTACGTGCACAACTACCCTTCCGCTGACTGGAGGTTCTCCACTCGAACACAATTAGAAGCAAACTTTCATTTCGTTCGCCTCATTCGACACCCAGTACCAGCTACAAGATAAAATAATAATAATGATAACAAAAACCCAACGGACTAGACCCAGAATTACTTATTGGTGAGGTGTGTGAAAAACAGAAATCCTGACCATTGCAAACGTTTAATTTTCACACCTGTGAACTTTAATCAAACATACCCGTCAATTTCATGCTTGTTCGACAGGCAAAACTTTCCTTGAACAAAGCAAACATGATCTGAAAATTAATGCATTCAATTTAGTGAACAGGATGAAGCGACTCCCAGTATACCAAGCAAATTGGACGCCCAGGCAATTTGATTACACCTGTTTCTCTAAAGCTGTTTACACCTTTAAAAATGTACATGTTATATCTTATCAAAATTCTGTAAATAAATTAAATTCCACTGCTAAACGAATTAATAAAGTGATCAAAGCACTGGAAAATCCAATGGGGGAGTAAATGACACAGAATGTCACCTTAGTTTTAGGAAGTTAAGGTTTTCAGCAACCCCCCCCCACCACCCAATATTAAATTTCACCACTATGCCGATAAAAGGAAAAGTTTACGCAACAATGCCATTTGAATGTTGTCTTTGAATCTCACCGTGCCAAACTGATCAAAATAAGGCATCTTCGAGCCAATTATAAATTAAACGGTTAACTGACAATGTTAACTACAATGTACTACAATGTGGCGCGTAGAATAAAACGAAGTTTGCTTTCAAATAGTATGACATCAATAGTTTAATTATCAATTTACGACGCTATGAAAAACAAAATTAACACAAGTACTAGGCCTATGTCCGCATTCACGCATGATGCCTTCTGTGATCTGCCAATCTTTGTATGTGATCAACTAACTCAATCAAGTCTAAGTTCCGTGGGCGACTGAAGCTTGTAGTAAGTATAATATGACAGCCGCTTTTGAACAAAGAAACAGATTCAGTCCATGTTGGAACAAATAGCTGTAGTTGTCTGTAATCAGGCAATTATGATAACATAAACTGATATTTACAACAGAAAAACAGAAGAAAGGATCCGGTTTTATTTTCGCGCAATATGGCTTCAGGCTGAAAACTAAAACAAACAGAGAAGAATGGTCTAGGCCTAAGTATTGGTGATTTGCACACGTGTAGTTTGATCTGACTGTACGGGTGATATTTTCTGATCACAACGGTATACTAGCCAAACATAATGTGGTGATATTGTCTGCAATGCCTTATGAAGTGAGACGAACATGCCCAGATGTGCAAGACTTAATTTCAATTTCAAAAGACGACAATAATAAAAACAGTGGCAAACACACTGTTCTTGAGAATAAAAGAGCTTGGAGCAAATGTCCTAAAGCTGGCAAACCTGCAAATATGCTTAACATAGGAATGCTCTGCTAAGCAAGTTAGATAACCTGCCAGTGTATATTTAATTTATAACTCTTCTATCTGCTGTTATTTTTGGACTCAAAAAGCAAATAAATGGGGCAATCCTCCACTTTGCAGTGACCATAAAACTGGTTCCAAAACTCGTCAAAGAATAAAACCCATTTAAAAAAATAATAAAACAAAAACACCAGGTTAAGAATAAAATTCACTGAGAACAAAACACTAAACAGATAACACCACATAATAATCATCAGAATCCAGTGATGAGAAAAGAAACTGAGGGGCTGCTCTCTTTGGAAGGGTCTAGAGATAATTGCGTCTGGCGAGGACATAGAGACCCAGGATGACATTGAAGCCCAAGAGAATGGTAACCAGGTACATGTCCCAGTGAGGTCCAAACCTGGCCTCCATGTCCAGCTGACTCCACTGCTCCGCATACTGTGGAAGATACCAGGATGAAAGTCAGGTCAAGAAATGGATTTGGACATGGCCTTGGGTGCGTTCCAATGTCGCACGTGCTAAGAACGTTGGAAAGCTTTGTGCATATCCAATGGGAAATCATTTACAAGTGTTTAAAACATTTGCATGAGTTTAACACACAGCTGACTTTCAGTCCTGTTAAGAAAGCAAGCCGAGTAACAATCCAAGTTATTGAGACTTGAGCCTTGGGAACAAAATGGCTTCATAATGCCCCAAAACACACATGAAATATGATGTAGAAATAAAAGCTAATAGAGGCCATTTTGTACCCAGACATGGATGCTAATGTTTACTACTCTCTCCTGCAGCTCTATATTGGGTAAAAGCCTCAAACCTCAAAACCGACATCTGGATTTTTCTTTAAATAAAGAGAACTGCAACCCTCCGAAACTGTTTCATTTTCCTTTCCTCCTCCAATATACAACAAGAATACAAAATACAACACTTCACACATAGAAGTGGAAAGATCACAGAATCGGATCCTCAATTCCCTATCCCAACAATTTTGTCCTCCCCACCGACACTATTTACATTCTTGGCTCTTGCATTGGGGCATGAACCACCACTCCTTACAGTCACATTAGCACACATAAAATGAGTTGCTGATTGAACAAATGTTGAAAAGTACACTTTTTCACACATCTTTTCAAAAGAATACATTACTACAGTTATATCAGCTTTAATCTAAAATACACGGCCGTAAATAGTTTTTACTCTAAACTGGGTTTTATGCACTTTTGTTTACTCAATTGAAAACATTATTTCCATGAGGCATTAGTCATTTTCAAACAATTTGAACATTTAAATGAAATTCCACCATGCAAATGAAATTCCTCCCTTGCTTCTAGACACTATGACTTGATGGCATAACTCTGAATCAATCAAGGGCTCAGTGAAATTGATCATAGCTTGACAAATGACATCCTTGGGATCTAAATGAAAGAGCTCAACACTCTGAAAAGGATGAGGAAACCGTGAGGCGCAACAGGGAGGAATTCCTTAATGAGAGCCAGATTGATGGGAGCAAGGTCAGCCCCAGAAGACAAGGCTCACATGGTCGCATCACCACACTCTCATCAAAAGGACACTGGACCTTACTAGTCCAACTATAAGCAATACCGACAATAAAAGTGGCCATGTCCAGTTAGATTATCAATCAGATGTTTGAGAGTCTGGAGAATTAGTGTGTAAAGCAAATGTAGGTATTTAATTTGGCAGCAATGATGCTCTACTGTGAGTTGATGTTGTCAGTGGATGAGGCCACATTCATTGGTGAAGACACTTACATGACTGAGTGACCCACTGCCATACATCAATGTCGAGATACACTCCAGAGAGAAACGATATGAGGATCCAATTCGGTAGACCGGCATCAAGTATCCAAAACATGCCAGTACTTATAAACAAAACAAATACATTACAAACCTGCCCAAAATAGAACGCGGGCCCCAAGCACGAAAAACTTGACGCGTACATCTAACAGCCTCCAATCAGAAATAGGAGAATCCAGAAACAAAATTCAACCAGAGATATTCTCACATCACGACGTATTCAAAAGGAACAGTAACTGTAACAATTCCTAAGGATACGTCTGCAGTGATCTGGTCACTACAAAAATTCTGGCAGTACACTGCTTCACTACTCGTGGATGGTATTGTTTTTGGCCAAATGCTGGACCTCAAGGAAAAGTAAGTTATAGCAGGTATTTCAATTGGTATTTCAAGCTCCTTTTATGGAAATTGGCTTATGCGCGGCACATACTGCGTGAGGTGGCACAGAATGCAATAAGCTAGCCAGTGCTTCATCACTCATTTGAGACCGGCAACATGATGGGCTCAAGGCCAACAGAAATACTTAAACTAAGGCACTCATGAATGATGGTTTGTAATTTTGGGCTCTGATACATGTATGTGCAATGATAGGTCTCTGAATCAAATTAAAATGGGGGGTGCATGCATTATTTAAATCCATGCTCCATAACGCATCCTTCATCACATAGGCATTTATATAAGAATTTACCCTGTCACTCTGTACCAAGGAACCTCAAAGGCAACCCCTGGGGAAGGAGGGGGAGGGGGGGTAGCTGCATTCATTCCTGACTGATGGCTTGATTACATCACAAGGCGGTGTTTCCTCTTACCTATCACCTCAGCTTATAGGTGTCTCACCGGCAAGACGTGTCTGGTAGAATGTACAAACCTGATGGCTTTTATTGTTTGCTTTATATCCTATTAACTCCCTTTACTCCTACATACACATGCTGGCACTGGGCCTTGTGTCTGTCCCTGGTAGCTAACATATTATAACCCAGCTAGGGGACCCTCTGCATCACCGCTGCATTCCCTGCCCCATTCGCATATCTATGGTTGGTTAATTACACTACAACGGCATTTTAATCATTCTATCTATCTGACTGCTGAACGAGTAATGGAAAATTAATATTTTGAATTAAATTTCAACCCACTCATTGTACTAAATATTGCAATTCTTTGGGTTTTTACAATCATGAAATACAATGGTAGAGAGTTGCAGATGTTTGCAACGAAATTCACAGCTGTTGTGAAACGTGCTACGTTTTGTAAACCAATGACCACATCAAATTGTTTGTGCGTCAAAAAAAAAATTGAAAAAGCACCCCATGGCAGGAGCTACACAGAATGGAATTGACTATCAAGTTACCAGACAGTAGGCATTGGACTTGAGGATGAAACGGCCCATTACACATGATCTCGTAACCATGGCAATGGAGTGGGCTGAAGAAGGACCACACTGATTATATTCTGCTTCTAATTTCAGAACTGGTAGGGGAACTTCTTTCAAACAAGATTTCATTTGAAACCTTCCTTCAGTAACCTAACCTTTTATTGACCCAACCTCTTAGTATGAACACCAGTACAAACTACTGTCGTTGAGTAAAACTTTAATGATTACCAAGAGTAGTTGAATAAAGAAGAAAGAGAGACTACTAAACCTTCAAGGACTGCCTGCAAGCCAAAAAGAGCTGGTGAAGACAAAGCACGACTGAACCTGAACTTTAAAAATGATATGGAAATCACCAAAGTCACTTGGGAGGTATTTAAGAGCCCTCAAGGTAATCTCGAACAATTTAAGTCCAAATGAACTCTCAAGATTTTTTGCCTGCATTATGTCCCTTTTTTTCCAGGATGAGAGATGCAGGTACATCAAAACAAAGAGCTCTTTCAAATGGTATCAAAACCAAGATATGATCTGGAGACTCATTTGTGGGATTCCTCTTCGTGCATTTCTGCATGAATTTCCTCTGACAGACTTGAAAAAGAAAGCAGGGGTGAAGATTTAAACATTTTCATTTCCAAACAAGAAACCACTGTATGAAACTGAACACATTAATTATAAAATAGTTTTCTGCAAGGGAATTTTAAACTCTAGTGGTCATTTTCTTTACTCAACCTTAAATTGTTCAATTTAGATTTCCAGAAAATGTCTTTTTCCTACAAACTCCTCTGCAGTTAGGACCTTTTCCGTATCTCAGCAGCAATATTCTTTGGATGCAGTTCCACAGTGTCATTCTCATCTATCTCTCAAGCATCCATTACCATCATATTCTGAATTCAAGACTGCTACATTCACCTGCTTGGGCCATCCTGACTGTACAAGAGAACCCTTTTTTTTAAAGAACTGCAAATCAGGAGAGGGCATTGACGCAGCAAACAGAAGTGCATAGGGTAACGTCCAAATAAGCCTTATCAAGTCAAGTGTGAGCTTGTGAGGGTCATGTTTCTCAGTGTAAGGATACATTTCTGAGCATGGAAACCCAACACTGCTACACACTCAGGTTCAACATCCCCTCCACCAAAAAATTTAAAACATTCAAACTCGGTCACTTCACTAGAAATCTGAGATTGGAAAATGTCAATCAAGATCCAAACACGACGCAATGTTAAGCAAAATAAGAACAGATATTGGAGAGAGTGAAACACTAATCAGCTGGCAAGACACATGCCTTGCAACCATGGCTCCATGTTGCAACTAACAAAACCTGAGAGCAGAGATTTTTATCTGTTTTCGGATCTACATGGTTGAGCCCGAGAGGCAGGCACGTCCAGGGCCTATCAGTGACAACTGATAAGCCAATAATTTGTGAGGGTGATTTGTGGGATTCAATCAAACGATACACATCAAGCCCTTGCATGTTAATCACGTGGAAGTTCACACCAGGACTGGCATCTTCAAAGTGCCCGGAAAAATTAGTGAACTTGAGCGTGCTTTATGACGAAGTGCGTGGCTATGGTAAAGTATTGGCCAGGTTGATGGGAGGAGGTGGAAATTACAGAAGCATCTGATGGGAATGATAAAGGCATAGGAAGATGAAAACAAGGACATGTGTTGGTTGTTGTTTTAGAGGAAAAACAAGAAATGAGAAATTGGCAAGCATGTCGTTCCTTGATTGTGTTGGAGTTATCAGATTCTTGACCAGAAGGATGATACCAGAAAACAAATTGGATGGGGAAAGAATCTCAGCAGGTACTCGTATGAGATACAGTCCTTATGTAGAGCTTAACAAAAGGTGGCAATGTAAATGTCTTAATTTGTTCAAGTCCAGTTGCAAATCATTTTTTTATTATTATCTCCAGTTAAAGATAAGGATTCAAGTCAAACTTGAGCCTGAGTCAGCAACTTGATTCAACAAGACTGGAATTAACCACTTGCTGCTGGGATTTCTGGAACTAGACTACTTGGGTTTATATGCATAGCTGGGCTGCCCGAAATGGGACAAAAGAGCTGGGCCTTGGGTACAAAAGACCGTACTCAGAACAAAAGACTGAGATGCTGGGAATTGCCAACATTTTTTCAGTTGTCAATAGCGGAGGAAATCTGTCATTGTTTTGAATGATTATAACACTGTTTGTAACATTCAGTGTCAGCAGATTACCACTCCAGTGCACTAGGGATGAGAGATACACAATACCACTGCATGCTAATCTGTTCCACATTTGAAAAGACGCCAGAAGTGCACTGGGCCAGTTTCAGGAACAGAAGAAAATTACGTAACACCACACAATCTGGGCTCTTTTTACAAGGCAGCAGGCCTGGCCAAAATACTTGGGCATCAATAGATGTTGTCTGTCAGATAGGAGTAGCCACCAGAGAGTCATTCATGTGGGTGTAAATGTCAGGTAAATGAAGTTATGAAGTTTTAAAGAATTTTGAAACCGAAAAAGCTTGAAAATCCCCTGGGTACACATCACGCAACTTCAAATTAAACCCGGCAGCATATGGTAAAAGCAAAAATGGAAACAAGTGGATGATAAACATTCAGCATGACGAGCGGTCAAACACACCTCCAAAAATCTACTCCAGTTCTCCATTCTAGGAGATGCCTGATGTCTGAGCACAATACAGCCACACGCAATATCAATGTTTTCTCACTAAGTAATCAGCCATTCATCAAATATGCTGTTCTTGCACAAACATCATGTCCATCGGGCACAATTCCAGACATATTTCATTTTTGTCACTGACAGCTACACACCAGAAGCTGATAGAGTCAATAAACACAGGGTGGGTAATGTTAACTCAGTCAGTTTTTCTGGCTCTCCCTTCCAAAAATGCGGGCAATAGCAACATTTTCTGGGTGCCAGATTCCCTGTGGGATGAAATCCATCACATCATCGCAGAGGCATGTTTTGCAGACCTACATAACACAACTGCCAGAAGCAACGTTGTTCTCGGAAACCAAGTGAGTTCAGGGTTCAGGCACGGACCTA